GCTTCAGGGTCAGGGTTTTAGGCTTCGAGAGGGTTCTAGTTCAGGAGGGGTGGAGGGTTGAGGGTTTTAAGGTCTGGCTGGGGGGTTTAGGTCGTGGCTGCCTTAGGATTGACCATCAGCAGACAGGAGGAAACCCACCCCCAAAAAAAAACACCCGAAAAAAAAACGCATTATTCGAACCCGTCGTTTTTTTGGTCTCGGCTTGAATAAAGAAAAAAACGCATTAAAGAGGCCCATGTTATTAAAAGGGCCGCCACATTAAATGGCACTAGCAGTACTGCCAGTATATGTTAGTGCTCTCCACGCTGAACTTGGGTACAGTCGCTGCGACGTCACGCAGCGTCTGTTGGTGTGCAGCTCTCCACTACTGCTCAAAGAGCTGAAGACCTCACGATCCCGCCAAAAATGCCTCGGCAGAGACCGGTTTGCCTGTCCGCCCCCCTACTGCAAAAGCCTTTTGGGCAGGACTCGAGGTCAGAAGAACACCACCCCTTCAAGGCCAATGCGATATGGAGACACAAACCGTCAATCTGTCAATTTGCAAAAACGACCACATGTGACACTTAAAGGATCGGCGGTCAGCAAGGCAACACGAACTAGATCCCCAATGCAGCCTGATACCTGCTCCAACCTGATATCACTTCCCACCGGAAACCGTGCTACACAACTGCTCCGAAGAGATACTGGGCCGCTGACTTGCATAATGCGGCCTTTGTAGAGCTTGACCAGAGCATCCACCGTTTCGCATGCAAAGGCCTGTGGGGAGGGCACGGCAGTGGTCATTGCATAAGAGACCCAGGAAGGCAGCGAGGGCTTAGGGTTTAGCCTTGTAACACAAGTTTCACATCCGTAAACACACGTTTGCCGAACTTCAAACCCTAATAATAAACACCCTTCTGAGCCCTGTCTCAAACCCATATCAATAAATACAGGAACCCCTGGTTTAGAAACACGGCAGTCGAGATCGAACAACAAATCGGGAATCGACACACCCTAAACCCAAAACCCCAAAACCTTCAATGCGTGCATCCCCGCGAGCCTCGTCGTCGTACTCCAGGGCGCATACGCTGCACGACCTCAGAAAATCTACGGGCCTCTGATGGTCTGAAGCACAGGCTGCAACTGTCCCCAGAGGGCCCAAAAAAAACATCCGAACCAGCAGTAGGATCCCTTGTAAGGGGGCAAGCTCTGTTTCTTAAGCCCAAACCCTAAACCCTAAAACCCTCAAGTCTACGCCGTCAAGCCGAAGCCCTAAATCTTACAACCAATAATATGTAACATATGATATATCGGTTCCAGGGGTGAACCTGGCCCCTGCGTTTTAGCACTTTACGCATATTACCAAGCCACGTGCACTAAATAACTCGAGATGAAGACAAACGATTGTCCGAAAATCCAAAAATCCAAACTTCGCTCTACCATTTCCTCGAAAATATTGGATTTTCGGATTTTTGGATTCACAGGGAATTGTCACTGTTGGCATGGTTATATTACCCTAATAAACAAATATACTACTGTACTACTACACCAACATACTATTATACTTTTCTAGTTCTATGCTTATGTATTTATATACTCCTTTGCCAAAATAGTAATATACTAAAACAGTTGTACAAAAGTTAATATATTGATAAACTAAAGTACTAATATACAAATGTACCAGTTCCCACTGTATTTTGGTGTACTACTACAACAAAGGACGAATATACCAATGTACGACTATACAGGTATGCAAACATATTCATATACGAATACATTCATGTATTAGTATACTGATCTGTAAAAATACTAGTCTATTAAATGCCAATGTACGACTATACAGGTATGCATGCATACTCATATTCTAATACATTCATGTATTAGGATAATGATCTTTTAAAAATACTAGTCTATTAACATATATATATATATATATTTATTTATTTATTTATTTAAAATATCAAGCCTTATATACTAATACGAATATTACTGCGTATACGAGTATTATTCCCAATAATAGCATGTATATTCAGACTGATACTCATATTAATACTAAGGCCCACATTGACACTGACAACCAATACTCATACCCGTAGTAATACATGAAGATTTTCTACTGTATCATAATATACATACTACTATATCAAAGTACCCTTCGATTAGCACATTCATGTACTAATAGGTTCGTCTGCTAGTATACTGATCTACTAGTTAACTTTTCCATGAATGTACTTATCTATTACGTAACATATCCTCAGTTTGATGGTTTGATGGTTTCCCTGGCCCACACCGTGGGAAGTAACAACCTCCAGATGTTGGGTGGAAGCAAGCAAGCAGCTGGCCCCGTTCCTCAACAATCTGAGTCAAAAACCAACCTACAAAAAAGTTGCATGGAGCAGGCGCAGGACACGACTCGGCCTCTTTTGCGGTCACGGGAGTAGCGTCTTCAGTGGACGAGAGCGCTCTCGCCAGTACTTGAAAGCAAACTTCTGGATCTCTTGTGCTAGGGCCAAAACTTCTTCGAATCCTTGTTGTCCAGGCTGCAAGCACAGGATGCGGGAAAGTGATCCTTCTTCTGAACCCACAAGCGAGACCAGTGCCCCACGAACTCCTGCAAACTTCGCGCCGGACAACAGCATGTGTGCCAATGGACCCCGAACAGTCCTACCGCGAAACCACCCGCGCCCTGGAAAAAGAACCCTGCAAGTGCCCCAGCGGAAAGAGGTTTAACCTGAGACGGCACAAGGCTCTGCTGGCAAGAAGACTGTTCCATGATGACGGCTGCTTCAGAATTGAAGTGAGCAGCTTGGACGGGGTCAAATCCGAGTTAATGATACGCCAAGACAAAAAACAAGAAGAAGACTGAACCAAACTTTGCAGCCTGGCTATAAGCACTTAGCCGCCAACGTCTGCTTTACATACCGCTTATATTCTGGGATTCCAAGGCTCATGTCACCGTCAGAATACTGGGCAATACCCCAGTCATGGAGTAATTGAAGACTTCTCGTGCTCCAGCAGGCTGCCGTCGATTGCGCGGTTGTCTCAAACACCCTGCGGTACAAGTCATCAGCTGGCCAGCACTGTATTCGCGTGCGCTTCACAGCAACATCGAATACTGCACGAGCCATCCCGGAAAGTGGCCAGCCAAGTTCCCAGACGACTGCATGGGCAGGCAACCAAGCAGGAACGCCTAATAAGATCTTTGCCCAGCGATCATACGCGTCATCGAGGATTCTTGTTGCGTCCGGGACCAGCACCGCATATACCCAACGACCTGGCCTCATGCAGGCATCCACCTTTCCTTCAAAAATGTTCAGAGCAAAAGGTAAGGGGATAGCCTGCGATGTACACAACCCCGCCAGAGTGGAAAAACATCCCGAAGCTACACGGATTCTTGCTTGCAGAGTTTCTGCGGCTCCACCTGCCTCCGTCCAAAGCCAGCCCAACCACCTATGAGCATCAGAGCACAAAGACAAAGAGGTGGAAGGAGCAGACGGTGAAGGGCGGAAGAAAATCGGCTGCACCTGTCCTGACCCGCCTAAGCGAAAAACCACAGACTTGTCATCAGAAACATGGAAACGAGCTCCATGGCCTGGTGCCCATCGTTCAATCATGAGTATCATACGGCAAAGTTCGCCCCATGACGATGCCAGCAGAACAGGGTCGTCGGCGTGCAACAGGATGGCCAGGCGCCCAGGGTCTCTCAAATCCAAGGCTCTTGCGGCAGAGGCCTCCAGGTCTGGATACGCTTGGAGAGCTGAGCTACTGGGTAGCTGCGCGTCAGTGTGCAATGCCTCAAGGATCCTAGCAACCAAAGACATCTGAGGCACACCTTGTCCACTCCATTGATGGTCTTTCCATTCTTTGGGAAGGGCAGCATCCAGAGCAACACCGCATTTCTCATGAAGGAGCACACGAGTCAGAGAGTTTGGGATCAGCGGATACAGGAGGGGTCCTAAACAACCACGCCCTCAAGAACCGAAACCACGGAAAAACCACCAAAACCAACAGAGACCGAATCAGAATCCAAAATGTGCCCCAAAAGGTGCAGCGCGCCACCCGAAAGGAGAGGGCACTCGGCAGCCAAGTGTAGTATGTCATTTCGCCAGCATGAAGGAAAAGCCTTCTCAAAGTCACCCATGAGTACAAAGACACAGCGGTGCTGGGAAGCCACCGCAAGTTGTCGCAGCTCGGTTAAAGCAAGGACTGGATCTTCTGAGCTTCTGATGTAGCCGGATTGTCCTTCCAGCAAGTGCGACCAGATTGCAGGCCTGAGTCGTAAGGCCAAGACACCCTCCTGCAACAGTCCCATCTGCGAGCGAACGAATAGTAATCTCCAAGAGGAGAATTCTGTTGCTGGACCTTTCTTGAAAGCAGTACCTAAGCTTGACCATCGCCACAGCGTCGGGCGCAAAGCAAATCTAGCAGGGCCTGCCAGCTGGCACAACAGCCATATGAGACTGATCCAATCCTCACTATCTGCAACAAATGCAGCACGCGGAATTAGATCCGGTGTAATGGCCGTAGAGGCTTTCCACGTGGACAAACCTGCTCTGATTTGCGGCTCAGATACATCGGTATCTAGTAAGCCCTGACCGCGTTTCTGCCATGCTCGCCCGATCATAGAGCTCACCGAATGTTGCATTCTTGTGAGAATGTTGGCATCATGAACTTCAGGCCCTGAACATTGGGATCTGAGCTTCAAGCACCACTCTTCGTGAGATTCCTGTGGAGACAGGAGTGCTCCGTTCTTCCTCATGCAAACAGGAGTGGGAACCTTATGCTTCTTGAAGAACTTAAAGCATTTCAGCGCAACAGATGTGGGGATATTGCCACCCGCAAGAAGGCCCTTGACTTCAGCGACAATGCGCTCACCGTCTGAAGGGTGAAGAGCACCGGAAGCAGTCTGGGCACCAGCGCGAGGCTCAGACTGGGAGCGAGCTGGATGGACCCATCCGTCGCGTGCAATGGAAGCAAACATGGACCGAACCCAACACAAGCAGTCCAAGATCCACCCCTGA